TGCTTCGGCGATACATCGCTCAACCTAGACGTTACCATAAATGGGGAAGTGTTATCTAAGTTACATACAGTAGTAGACTTAGGACTTAGATACTCCCAAGACCTGTTGTTTACAGAACATATATTAAAACAGACCTCTAAGTCTCAACGTCTAATAGGTTACATAACTCGAAATCTTTACAACACTGAGTCACGTATTCTAATGTACAAAGTTTGTGCTCGACCTCTTCTGGAATACTGCACGTTTATTCTTAGCAGTGCTCTCATAAAGGATAAATTAAGGCTGGAATCAGTACAGAGACGATTTACACTTCGTATTCTTGGAGCTGATTGTACCTTAACTTATAATTCTAGATGTAATAAACTCGGGCTAGACCCTTTATGGATGAGGAGACTCAAACTAAATCTTATCTTTTTCTTCAAACTACTTCATAAACTATCGTTTACATACGATCACGTGATTCAATATGCAGAAACCTCTCATTATAATATACGTAATTCCTTGGCACTAGTGAAACAAACTCATTCTAAATCATCTCTTTATATGAATTACTTCACCTGTAAATTCTCTAGACTCTGGAATAACCTACCTCAACCTATCTGCACGATAAAATCACTCCCATTATTTGTTCGCTGCATCGATGCATACTGCTCCTCTGAAAATTTATTGCGGGTTCTAGCACCTGTAAGTGTATCTCATTCCACAAGTAGTATTATAGGAACCTTAAACGTTTAGCCATTTTTTATTAGTGCATTCTCTAAGTAAAACCGCCTACTTGCTGTCACTTTATATTAACACCATCCCCAGCAAGTTTAACTAATCTGAATAACATCAACAGTATATCACCATGTCACATGCATTTTGGTAGACTTGATTGACATATTTTGGTAATTACTGCCTCGTTGTTCCGTGCTCTCTGTTTTCGTCTTAATTTCTCTAATGGTAGATAATTATCATTAATTCGATATGGCACACAAAATGATCTTAATTACCCCGTTCATAAATCAACGGGCTGCCCAGTTAAGAAATATTAAAAATTCCCGGCTGATCCATTCGATCGCTGTAGTACAAGTACTACCTGAACAATTACTGAACTAGTATACTTAAAACTTTCCTCTATCGTATGTTTGATCTATACATCTAGTGGTACTATATATATCAAATTGATCATGCCTGTAAACTGGCGTGAATTTTGTAATTATTATTTTCAGAATATTTAAATTATTATTATTATTGAAGATGGTACAGGTATTCAGTGCTTGACAACGCTTTTACCAGCAACACCTTCTAATATAATTTGTACCACCAAGAGAAATCAAAAGACAGAGTCGAGGAGATCGGAAGAGTGCATTTGGCGATAACCAATATATCAGAATTGTCTGATCTAATCTGGCTAGCGATTGCGGCAGATGTTGAGCACAGCGTTACCACACATGATCTGGTGCGGATGCATGACCGAGCGCCTTCAGATAGATAAGTCCACTGAAACATATGGTCAGCATCCATTGTCGAAAACTTACAGAGCTATTTATTTTGGGGATTTATTTACCGTTACATTATTATTGTCATCATTCACTAACACTGGTAGTACTTCTATGAAGATTCACGCTCTATCCAAAACGTACAAAATATGTAGAGACTATAAAAAATTGCACATACGGCACGCTTTTAATCACCTATCGTTCAGGTCAAAGCTATTATTAAATAATGAGATTACATTATGACAATGAGTTATATCCGACCACAATTGTTCAAATTATTCTTCCACACATTATTTTCTACAGGCTGGTTGTCCCATACAAAGGGTGTTTGACAAATAGCTCATTGCCTTTCAAATAAACACATCGTGCTAACCTAATAATTAAAATCTCACCTGACAGCTTCGTAATTGTATCCATAAAATGTATATTAAATCTTGAAGTAATTATATAATAATATGTCGATTATTCTACATATCTATACAAATGCTGAGTAGTACCTTATTGTAGAGATGCAATCAAAAATTTGAATTTTATTGGTTGTAAGTTTATTTTGATTTGGCTTTGTAACTTCCAGCTTGTCGAATTTTATATTATTCTGCATTATGCAGAATATCAACGTTTCATTGTCGTTGTAGACGAAAAAAAGTTTGAATATCAAGAAATCTGCTTGGTCCAAACCAAATAATATCAAGGTAAGGGCAGACAGGCATATTGAACTCAATGATGAACATTGTGCAGTTAGCTTTTCCTAACAACGATAACACTTGGGTTATCCAGTCAGCGGTTTATAAAAACTCAAGGTTAGTTGGGAGTTCTCGTTTTTTTACACTTACTATTCTATCATGTCTGTACAGAAACTTTTAATAGTAATAGTGTCTTAAGGTTGTCCAAGCTATGAAAATCTATCGACGTTATCGAAAACGTTTGCAAGTGCTTTCTCCGGTTATATCTGTTTGCTTATAAAGTATGTGATCAAATAAAGTTTGTTTGAAAATTTTCGGAACTTTGATCAGATACCTGAGATTTGGCTTTCTCGGTAATGCCCGTGGATTGTATCGCGGCCGCAAAATAATGCTTCAGCATATACCTAATACTTTCCAATCCCCCAATTTAGGGGAAATTTTTGTCCGTTTTGGGTAAATTTCTGAGGAAAATACAATTGAAAACTTCGGGGAATTGGCAAAATACCTCAAAATTTTTGGAAAATCCCCAAAATGTTTGGGGAAATTTTTGGTTTTTCTCCGATATTTCCACAGAATCTAATAACACTTCAGGGTTTTCCCGAAAATTCCCCAAGACCCAAAACCCTGAAATTCCTCAAAGGTTCTCTAAAAAAGGGAGATCACGTTTGATTAACACCTTTTAAAGCTAATAATCCAGTCTATAATTCGAAAAATTTGATTACGCGATGTTTTTTTCTTTCAATCTTCGCCCAGTTCATATGAATTTGCTACTACGTGTGTTTACTTCGTGAAATTTTAGTGGCTTCACAGCCTCTCGCTAATTTAAATTTTGGATAGCATAGTTCCGACTGAATCAGCACTGCACGTCATGAACGTCTTTGGCTTCTCAGCCAAGATGTCTGTATCTGTTATATATTGGATGTCTGTATATCACTGTGACCCTGACTCTAAAAGTGTATAGCTAAGAAACCTAACTTAAAGTATCCAGCGTAAGTAGTCTTTCGTACAGCTATTGTTGTTGAAGGAATCACTGGCAAAGCATTTTCCGCACAACGTCTCAACTATCATCATCTTTGCTTCCGAAGCACAATACGTGAATTTTCAACTGCTACAACTCGAACGTGTATCTTTATGGATTGTACTGGTTGTGCTGTTTTATGTGATCACAACCTACGCTTATGTGCTGCACTAGCCATAAAAAGCGGTTTGGAAAAAGTAAATAAACCAGTAGATAGCGCTGTTCCGAGAAGTTATGGAGTTATATTTTGAACCAAGGAGGAAGTACAGACTTGTCAATTTTTCCCAAAATGATCATAATCTCATGGCTATACTCAATGTGTTTCCTGTCATGTGAAACGGTATTTTGTCAGAGTTATGTCCTCTGCGCAAATAGACACCGGTAACCATTGAATAGAGATACCTTATAGTTGGGACCAGTTAGTTTTAGTCCATTCATTTCGCAAAACGTCGCACTTAATGAATACCTAACTATGATATTTTAAGAGTGATTGTGTGAAATTTCATGAAGGCTGGTATGTATTCAAGTTATACTCTATATGCCCCTTAATGACACTGGGATTTATCATAACTACATAGGTTCGTTTAAAACGTAGAGTTCCTGGACATGGTAGCAAATTTCATAAGTACCAGAACTGTTATTCCAAGTAATCATCATTAAGCTTTTCTGTTATGACCCCAAATGATGGGTGAGGTCCTTCAATTTTACAACCTACTGTTTATGCGGAGTATTTACAGTAGTCGCGAATTTATTTAATTTATTATTTCTCCCGACTTAATTTAGTAACTGGTTAGTACGCCAGTTTTTGAAGCAAAAGTGTAAATTAGTTCTAAATGGGAATTCATTTAGTGACATGTGCCGTTTGGGGTTTACGACGAACTGTCTTGTTCCATACAACAGTAGGGCGTTTAGTTTACAATTCACTTACCTTTGTCAAAGCTGGTGAACCTTTTGCCTGTAGAATTCTAGTGACTGTCCTGCAGTTTATACCACATAATAGTTGAGACTTTTTAAATATCGGCTGTTAACAAATTCTGAAAGTATTAAATGAAGTATTAGGATAAACTGTAATCATGAACATAGGATAGTTTAAGCTATAGTTTTTGGGATTTTTACTGTTTGTAACTCCTATGTTTCAGAATTTTTCTTTTTATTCATCGAAATGTTTCATAATAAATTACCACAATTGATTGTGTTGTCACAAATAAAATTAATATTTGTTTATGGATGGTGCAAGTAGTTAGGCATTACTTTTATAAATTTAAATTTGTCTTTAGTTTTTCAAACAGATAGGTTTCCAACTTCATCTACCTACGTTGAGTTTCTCCTTGCAACTTTGCAGTTGGCTTTCATTTGGCTCTTTTTGAACTAATAGTATGTTTTCAGACTCCTTCAGACTTCTTCATATATTTTGTCAGCCAGTGATGATATAACTTATTTATCAAGTGCAAATTCATGTACTTGGCTTCAAGCTACACTTGATGTGAATGCTGGTAAGGCTACCTGGCTCCCAAAAGTGAAGCAGATGGTATTAAAACCTAGTTGTTGCACTTCGGACATATAAATCATTAACCCATAAATTTAAATAATGTAATATACTAAGTTCATTTGTACTACGTCACAATGGTGAATATTATGTAATCTTATGCACTATCCGTATAATTTCATCGAATCATTTCCTGATTCTTGTAGTTGTCTGTTTCTAAATGATCAAGTAAGTAAAATCTGATTGTTCTGTTTATGAATGACATCGTGGTGCGTTCTGTATTTCAGGCAATTTTATACCTATTACTATCTTTCTGTGGGATATCTAAATCAATGCTTCTTTGTTCAGGCGGTATTGGATTACATCTGTTACCGATCCTCGTGTGTGTTCTCACCTTTGTTGCAGTCACGACTTGGTAGGTGGTTTAGAATTGTCCATTATATTTTGTTTTCCATATTATAATCAATTTTGACTTATCATTTTATCTTTACCAGAAAATAACTGTGAAGCAAAGCATTCAATAAAATAGTGCTCAATTTGAGAGTTGAGTTAATTCGCAACTCATCTGTTAGGGATGTGAATAATGATGTTAAAAAATTATGATTAATAGGTGTTTTCAAACGTAATTTGTGTGAAGGATTCTCTCAGATAATTGTTGTACTTATATTACTGTTGTTATTCAAAATATTATATATATATATATATATATATATATATATATATATATATATATATATATATATATATATATATATATATATATATATATATATTCCTATTGTATAAATGTTCAGTAACTAGATTATGTGTATCTGTATTCCTCTTATTATAAGCTTCATTTTGATCTATAGATTATTACTATACGATTTACTGTTCCTAAATTATACTGAGTTTATTGATTACAATCTCCCATGTTCACAGTCACTTTTTGGCTTTATCTTGTGTAAATGTCATTTCCTATTTTATGGTGTGGTGTGATCTGTTTGGCTGGTATATAAACCAAGTATGTTTTAAATAAATGATTCGCATAGTAGGAGCTGTTATTGGCGTTCTGGGCTCAACTGGACGGACTAGGCGAACAAAAGACCAATAAGGACGCTAGGCTGCTCGTACCGCTTGAACGTCATTGGTGAGCACATTACTGAGATTGAATAAGTCGTATTTCGATTAGCGAATAAGCCACGTGACAACTAGCCGGGCTTAATGTCACAACAAGAACTCTCGGGTGTTTGACATTCTTTGTAGTCATCGAATACAGAGTGATAACCCAAGGGTAGGTTCCGCGTTCATTTAGTTTAAGAATAATGAGGTAGCTGACTTTGTAGATCGCTATATTTATTTAAGAATTTTCACCAGTCATAATAAAAATACAACTGATAAAAGTCGTTGCTAATGAGGTGAGCCAGTTTGGTATTTGAGAACATAATACGGTAATAGGCTACCTATCAAACGGAGTATATTCCCCCAAATGCCCTGGCACGGCCGAGGGTGCGGAAAATCAGCTCTCCCTCTCGAAATGCTCTCACATGGCTATGCGTATACAACCACTGTCAGGATATTCCTATTCACTGCCTTCTCATGGTGGGTGTGTTATTTACGAAATTGAGAGGACGAAAAGCGAATGTCCGGCTCTTTAACGGGATTGGCGGATGATTGAGGTCCTTCTAGGGGTGTTGGGAAGCCCTAACTGAAAACGAAAGGTACATATAGGCTCCAGTATCCTGAGGGTACAAATGGCGTATGAACCAATCGTTTGTCACCGGCTACCACGGGACTGCATTTTCTGACGTTGCTCCACTGCCTTGTGGGTCAGACCTTTAGGTCGGAGGTTCCAGGTGTGGACCCTTAGAAAAACTACCCGCTTCGGTTTGGGCACCCGGGCAATATCCCAGCCCTCACACAAATCGAATGTGGCGCATATCTATTTGTTGCCTCCTTGTACCAATTTTTATGTGTTTAAATAAATAAATAGATGCATACATAAATAAATAAGAACAACAAATATAAGCGAACAATTGCTTTCAATTAGATCGTCAACAGGCTTTACTGTAATATACATGAATATTTATGCGAAAGTGTTAAATCATTCAAGGCAATATGGGTCAATAATCACAATGAGATAGAATAGGTCACCACATATAATAAGTAAAAATATAAGTTGATAGTAGGAAGACAGGTGTACTGATAGTAGTAAGAATAATAAAATATGATAACAAAAGTCTTATCAATAGTTCCAAGTCTATTTACCCACGTTTGACCTTCCATTTCCAATGTTTAACTGTTGATAAGAGTTTTGTTATCGTATTTTATTATTCTTACTACTATCAGTACACCTGTCTTCCTACTATCAACTTATATTTTTACTTATTATATGTGGTGACCTATTCTATCTCATTGTGATTATTGACCCATATTGCCTTGAATGGTTTAACATTTTCGTATAAATATTCATGTATATTAGAGTAAAGCCTGATGACGATCTAACTGAAAGCAATTGTTCGCTTATATGTGTTGTTCTAATTTTCACAATGGGAATCTTTAATATTCATAAATAAATAATATATTTGTAATATTCCAATGAGTAGAAAAATAGGATTTTACGACGTTTCGTGAATTAGTGTAAGCCACTTCTTCAGAGAATAAATAAGCAAATCGTCTTTTATACATTTATCATCGTATACAAATGTCTGGCCAACTATTGTTATTTGTGACACAGCAGAAATATAGACAATTTTAACTATCTAATTCGGTAACAACCATATATATATATATATATATATATATATATATATATATACTGATTGCTCATCCAGTATTTGTTGTAACCACTACTTATTAATTCACACGATTTTTTTATAGTTATTTCCTCTCTCTTACACAAGACCACATATCACCGTATTTTCCGTACATCAGGTAAGTATTTATTATGAAATCTGAGAAATTTAATTAGTTATTTAAACATATATACCTGATTCATACTAAGCCAAAAGTTGAACGTGTGAAAGCGTAAGAGAAGTTTAACATGCTTCACTTTAAGTCTTCAGTGTCAAACTCACTTGCTGACCTAAACGTAAATTAGTTTTTTTCCTTTTTTGTATTGTGGGTGATAATCACTCGGTTGTCAGAAACTAAAAAAGCATCTATCTAACCTTTCAGGTGATATCATTCATTGATGTAGACATTTGATTAGAGATAAGCTGTTCAACTTGTACTGATTTTATTCGTAAAGTGAAATACACTAGTCTTTTATCAAATGATGTTTTTTAAAGTGTCAAAATAATTAGCACTGATTATTTTCGTCTTTTCTTTACGGCGTTATGGACATACTCTTATTGATTTCGTATTTTTTAAAAAGTATTTAATTACATAAACATTGGTACAATGGGGTACAATAAAAATGGGATTATAGAGAGATAGTGAAAAGGAGAGTGAAGTATAAAGAGAGAACAGAATGGGAAGGAATTAGTGTACGACATAATAATGACAGAAGCAATTCATTTAGGAAAAACGAAACCAGAAAGTAATCTTTCGGTGTAAGAAATTCTCCCACTTTTATGAAAAAAATAAAATAAAGTTACAGTAGGATCGCCACTGGCTTCTACTGCAAGCCATGTCTGGCAACGTTGATTTACCTCTTGGACTCCAACCACGTCGTTGTGAAGGTCCGACGGAAGCCACTCTTGTGGAGCTTTTTCTCATACCACGAAACCATGTCATATACTAACCACCCCCACTTAAACAACCAGTCCCAGCGTCGGCAAACAATGCACGATGTGGGGTTCACTGAAATAACATCCGTAGAACATTTCTAAGCCATTGAATTCGGTGTTTCAAGACAGTGATATCAATTGAATTTTCGTCACTGTCCCCGAACCTCCTAATTACTAACATGTTGCCTGTGTATGTCAACAGTCCTTCAGAAAACGTGATGATCAAACAAAGTCGCTTAACATCTTCAACTTGGAAAGGCCAGGTTTCACAAGCATAGAGTAAAATTGCTCTTACTGACGAGTCGTAGATCCGATCTTTTACAGGTAGACCAACATCATGAAGGCACCAAAGTTGAAAAGGAATAGTGAGATTGGGCAACCCTGTCTAACTCCACTGGTTGGATGGAACAGTGGAGAGCGGTGATTGCATTCCCTCACTCTATCTGAGGTGCTATCATATGTGGCTTTTGAGATGTTAATAAATTTCTCAGGCACACCTTTCTTCAACAGACGATCTCATAGAATAGTCTTTTCCAACGAAGCGAAGGTGGTCCTGATATCAAGAAACACTGCGATTACTGACCTGCAATAAGTATGGTGGTGTTCTAACACATGGCGTAGGGTGAAGATGTGATCAATACATCTTTGACCAGAACGAAAACCAGCCTGCTTCTCGCGAGTCACTTTCCCGGGTCTTGAACAGTCTATACATATAGGTATAGTTGCATACGAATATTCGTCAAGATTAGAACGAATAGTTTGTGTTTTAAACCACAGTTTATGATATGTTTAAGTAGTTTATATAAATGTGGTATATTCAATATTATATGACTGTAAATTATGTCCACCAAAGGTTAAGATTGTACAATGAATATCATTCTTGTAGCGAGAAAATTCGTTGCCATAGTCATAGGGTTCATCGTTTGTGTGTGGGCTGTGATACTGCCCGGGTGCCCAAACCGAAGCAGGTGGTTGTCTTAGGGGGCCACACCCCGAGCCTTTGACCAAATGGTCTAACCCACAAGGCAGTGGAGCATCGTAAGGAGATGCAATCCCATGGTAGCCGGTGACCAACGATTGGTTCATACGCCATTTGTTCCCGCAGGATACTGGAGCCCATGTGCACCATTGGTTTGTGATCCGGTTAAAGCGCCGGACGTTCGCTTTTCGTCCTCTCATTTTCGTAAACAACACCCCCGCCGCGAGAAGGCAATGAGTAGGACTTCCCTGGCAGAGGCTGTATACGCGCGGCCGTGTGAGAGCATTTCGAGAGGGAGAGCGGACTCTCCCCACTCTCGGCCGTACCAGGGCGTTCGTCTGGTCTTGCTGGCGTTGGTGTCGCACTAAGCGCTAGAGCTGAGGCAGCACTAGTTGATTGGATCCCCATTAACAGTCGGCTATGTGCTGTTAGATTAGAAAGTTCCATCAAAGTGAGAAGAAATCGGCGTGAGAAACGATGTCTTTTCGTCATATCCGCCTATGCCCCGACAGATTGCAGCCCGGATGCAATCAAGGATGAGTTTTACCACCAGTTATCCGTTCTTCTCCAGAAAGTGCGTTCGACAGATATTGTAGTACTAGCTGGAGACTTGAATGCTCAGGTCGGGCGTCTAGGCACAGAAGAGAGTCGTTTAGGTGGCCGATGGGGACTCGTTGGTCGCAGGTCAGATAACGGGGACCGTCTACTGCAACTGTGCACAGACCACAACCTGTTTCTGGCTAGCACTAACTTTCGGCACAGTCATCGCCGATGTGCCACCTGGCGTCCTCCCTCTGCATCCCAAGCCTGGACTCAGATTGATCACATCGCGATCAGCTTCCGCTGGCGTGGTTGTGTAAAAGACTGCCGCTCCTTTTGGAGTACCTATCTGGACTCTGACCATGCCTTGGTCTGCGCCAATCTTGCCTTACTTTTCAGTGGACAACGAAGTGACCGCCACCAACGGATTGATGTTAGCAAGCTGGTTGCAACTTCTGTTGCAAACAAGTATCGAACCGAGTTAGCCTCTAGGCTAGCTACCACTCCACCGAAAAGTATAGATGAGCATTGGTTGCAATTGCTTGACGCCATGAAAATGGCGGGAACAGTCACTTGTGGGTTTGCGAAACGTCCCGCTTTTAAGCACTGGGTTTCTTCTGGTTCCTTACAACTCATTGAAGCCCGTCGGTCTACTCCGGGTGACCGTGAGTTTGACCATAAACGAAGGATGTTACGTAGGGAAATTGGGCAAAGCTTGCGTAAGGACCGAGAAGCCTGGTGGTCGGAGCGTGCTAATGAGCTGGAAGTAGCAGCTGCATCTGGTAACTACCGGAAGCTCTTCCAGCTCATCCGAGCCACTGGCAGCAAGAAGTCTGGTGTGAGTGAAACAATCTGCGAGGATGATGGGATGCCAATCACTAACATCCATCGACGTCTTGGACGATGGGCAGAATTTTTCGAAGGGCAGTTCAACTGGCCTGCTGCTCCGGCAACATCGGTCAGGCTGTCCTGCCCTCCATGGCCGGTGACGACTGATCCACCAAACGAGGAGGAAGTCCGCAAGGAACTCCAACTCTTAAAGCGTTACAAATCACCTGGCCCAGATGACTTACCTCCGGCTCTTTTTAAAGATGGTGGTGACTTTTTGACTAAGGAATTGACGACGTTGTTTACAAAGGTTTGGGAACTAGAGTGTGTACCAACGTCATGGAATGAGTCGATAGTTGTCCCTATCTTTAAAAAGGGTTCACGTCGTTCCTGTAACAACTATCGGGGGATAAGTCTACTTCCGATTGCGTCCAAGCTATTGGCTTCCGTCATACTTCGTAGGTTGTTCAAAACTCGGGAAAGATTGACTCGCGAGGAGCAGGCTGGGTTTCGTTCTGGTCGAGGATGTATTGATCATATCTTCACCCTCCGCCAAATGTTAGAACATCGCCATACTTATCAAAGGCCAACAATCGTAGTGTTTCTTGACATCAGGGCTGCCTTCGATTCGTTGGACAGAACTGTTCTCTGGGATTGTCTATTGAAGAAGGGTGTGCCTGAGAAGTTTATTAACATCCTAAAAGCCCTATATAAAAACACCTCAGGCAGAGTGAGGGCATACAACCACCTCTCTCCATTGTTCCATTCGAGTAGTGGGGTTAGGCAGGGTTGCCCAATCTCACCATTCCTCTTCAACTTTGCCATCGATGACATTCTGGAAACAGCTCTGATGAATGTAAGTAATGGTGGTGTGGATCTGTTACCTGGAGAAAGACTTCTCGACCTTGAGTATGCGGACGATATTGTCTTACTGTGCGATAATGCCCAAGGCATGCAATCCGCACTTAATCAGTTGGCAATCAGTGTCCGTAGGTATGGTATGTGTTTTGCACCTTCGAAGTGCAAAGTACTTCTACAAGACTGGCAGGATTCCAATCCTGTACTCACCCTGGATGGTGAGCAGATAGAAGTAGTCGAGAAGTTCGTGTATCTGGGTAGTTGCATAAGTGCTGGTGGGGGTGTGAGTGATGAGATCAATGCACGTATAGTGAAAGCCAGAGCGGCTTATGCCAATCTGGGCCATCTTTGGCGCCTTCGTGATGTTAGTCTGGCTGTAAAAGGTCGGATCTACAACGCGTCGGTGAGAGCAGTTTTGCTCTATGGTTGTGAAACCTGGCCTCTCCGAGTTGAGGACGTTAGACGACTCTCTGTGTTCGATCATCGCTGTCTCCGAAGGATTGCTGATATTCAGTGGCAACACCATGTCAGTAATGCAGAGGTTCGGCATCATGTGTTTGGGCACAGAGATGATAATTCAATTGGTGTCACCATCTTGAAACACCGACTTCGGTGGCTTGGACATGTTCTACGAATGTCGTCCCAGAGAATTCCACGTCGTGCATTATTTGCCGACTCTGGGACTGGTTGGAAAAAGCGGAGAGGTGGTCAGTGCATGACATGGTGTCGTGGTATGAAAGAAAGCTGCAGAGGACTGGCTTGTGTTGGTCCTTCACGACTCCCTGGTTGGGGTCTGAGAGATAGTGCTACACAGTGGCTAGAGACGTTATCAGATATGGCTCAGAATAGAAGCCAGTGGCGATCCTGCTGTAACCTTCTTTTACTTTCTTCATAAAAAGTGGTTGTGTCTCCCTCGCTTGAAAGATTTCTTCTGATTGTACTTTTCCGTTCCACTGTTACGACCACACTAAATTACACCAATCTCTTCGTTATCGTTCTCTTTTTCTTTTGTGCTCCTTAGTTTTTTTTTTTTCTATCTCTTCGAAGTTACATTGTTTTGTGTGGCGCATATATATTGGCGCTCTCTTGTACCAATATTTATGTGTTAAAATAAATAAATAAATAATAAATTCTTGTAGCACTTCAGTGCAATGGAGTAATGGTTAAAGTAATCAAGACCCTTCTTCATTTACATATGTCTATGCAATCAGATAGTATCACTAATCCTCACACAAATATATGACCCACTTCTGAGTGCATAAACTTGTGCATGGTAAATGAGTCACGTTACATACATTTTTATGTTTTTGTATATTGTAGGATAGTTTCAAACTGTTTAATATGAATAATCGGAAAATGTATAGTTTAGTACGTATTGATAATTGAATTACTGCGTGTGTAAGTCGACTAGCTAGAAACAATTCCTCTTCAAAATGTTGGAGAAAATAAAATTTTATTGATCAAAACATGTTTGAGAAATTCATATTTTTCTATGGCATATATGTGTTGAAATTTTACTTAGCGATCAAATCGGATCCAGCGTTAGATTATGAAATATCTAATTAAATGGGATAGTTATCGTGTCCTATAACTGATTCATAAAAGCATATTGGAATAAGTGATGAGTTACGGAGTCCGCGTTATTATTGTAAGCAATGGTTCAAGGCTAAGATTGACATGGCTCAGAATCTTTTGCGATAGTACGGATGTACGTACTCTTTGTTTTCCTTCAGAACCTAAGTTCTGAGGTCTCTATACCTAGTTTTCTCTTCCTATACCTAATATTTACTACTGTTAATGATACTGTTACTACTTCTACCATCTTAGGATTTCTTGATAATTTTATCTCACTGTACAAGAGTGGTATGACAACTTGAATTGATGAATATATATGTCAAGTTCTACGTTACAAATAACATGACTGACCCGAAACAATGTTTCAAATCCTAAATGGATAGGGACCAAGAAACAATATTTAAGTGAATTAATAAATATATATTTTATCTGGTTGTTTTAAGTGAATATGTTAGTACTTAACAATGAATGACTAATTAATTAAGCTATCAATCACTCCAAAGTTTGTGGATTACAATTTTCGGCATATTACTTGTACATTTGGGTAAGATATGTAGTATCATATAAAATCTATCAATATTGAAGATAGTGAATTAAAGAAAATACTGTTACCAATCTTATTAGTTCATTGAAATTAACGGTTTTATCAAATAATTTACATGAATGGTTTATTTTTGCTTTTGTTTATGTTTGGATTTTCGCTTCAGTCAACCACAACAAAAGCTGTCACAAATATATGTTAGTCCAAGTTGCCGTAACTACATAAACATGGAAAGACGAAATTAACAAGGGGAACAACAAAACAGCCGGGGTAATAGTAGTATCATTGATGGTGAGAAATCATAAACATTGGAGAATACGGTTCGAAAACTGATAAAAGTACGAAATAAGGTTGAAACTCAGGACTTAAGAGATGATAAAAAGTGAATGCTTATGTGTTGATCCATATGTATCCATTCAAAATTATTTAATGAAACAGAAACGAGTGAAAATTTGTTTTAACTTACAATTTGTTTGGGGCGGCCCAGTTCCAGTTTGGAAAGAATAGAACACTAGAAGACATGTGTTATTCCTTATGAAAAGTTTTGTAATTATCATTGAAGCAATAGATCCTAAATCTGAGTCTCTTGGTTAACATAAACGCTAGGATTCAAGTAAATTCAACTAAGCAGTTTTAAATCGGAAGAAAACACCCACTTAATTCCACTGCTAGTCAGAAAGTACGGTTTATAGTTTAGTAGCTCTCAAAAGAATGTATGATTAACTGAAATGTTAGTTAATTTCTATTGGGAAACATTTTACATGGTTAATACTATAAAAAGTAACCATACATAAGACAAAAATAACTTATTTTTGATTGTTACTGCCATTATTAAAAATATAGATTCCAATTGGATCTAAACTGTTTTCTTCCCACTCTTCTTTTTCTTTTTTAAAATATCTAAGTGATGCCGGTTCAAAGATCCCAGAAAGTTGTATTTTCGGTCAATTATTAAATATTGTTTCAGTTTTGGGTAAATGACAAATAACATAGTTCACATTGTGTAATATTCTGTTAATGTAATGTACTTCAATATGTATATTTAAAAATTTGATATGTATTCATAATTAACAGGTAATTCAACCTACGTGTCATCCTTATCATTTATCTGTATGAGAGATTATTGTGTCTTTAAACTTGAAAGTATTCATTATCCTCACCAAATCATATATAACGTATATATATAATCGTATATAATTAACTGTATCATCTAGTCATTGCATAGTAACCACATAAGGTATTAATTGTTAATAGAAAAATCTATGGATAAAAAAATTCAATGTAATTAGTAATGAGTTAATTGTCGATGTATCAATAGACTAGCACTGTTTTATCTTCGACACTTGAGGTTAAACAAAGTAAAATTTACATTCCTCATATTTATTGGGATTCTTGAAAGTGATATCTATCTAACAATAAATACCTCAATGTTTCTTATTCTATATGTTTTGTTTATTTGTTTCATGTTATTAAATTATAAGCAATGATGCAGTTTGTAATCTATTCAACATTATTCATCATCGAATACTTCATTTCGACTATTGACATCATAAAACAATCGTCAAATAATTATTAGCAAAAGCAGTATTTGTAGTCACTATTACATATTCGATTGTTAGCTAACAACAATCTTTGTTACTTTAGTGAAAAATACTTTTATAATGTTTTGAAAATTTATGATTCATCTGAATATGCCTGGGTACGTAATAGTGCTTTCATTATTAACACACATAGGCTGCAACATTTCCTGATATTAACAGTGATAGTAATAGTAAAATTAAGAAAGTTTTCAATTCATCAATAAGTTTAATAAGTATTACTAATTAGAATTGTTGGATTCTTAACTGGATGTATAACCTTTGCTTAATTTTCTTGACCTAATCTATTGATATGTTGTAAATGATTAGGTGAAACTTGTTTAGTTGTATTTTTACCCCTTCTGTGTAGATATTTGCTGAAGATATATGCTATACATCCTTACCGTATCAGCTACTCTGATGGATAGTGCAGAATTAAGTTAGAAATATATGGATAAGTTTATGTTTAGTTTTCTATTACCATCGTTATAATTATTTTCACTTATCACTACTGAACTTGCTAAATTCCTCCCATTGTTCTGATGTGAAATGTGACCAGTTGAATCGTTGAACACATTTGTCAGCTCTTACATTTGTTTATAAATATAAGTAACTATTCGAATAGGTTATTTTTTAGCCACCATATGAACAATTGCAGGATACCTTGAGGTAATACGTGCTATACAATATTTTTAATTATTTTATTGATCCTGTATTTGTTATTTGGTTTAACAACCTTATTTGGGAATGCATGTTGCCTTTCTCTCTCCCACAATTTTTCCATAATCATGTATTATTTGTCATTTTTTTCTTACTGCTGTCATCTGTTCGTTATAATAATAAAGCAGGTTTATGCTTCTACTCATGGCATAAACATTTGTTAGATTGTAGTCAGAAATTTAAACAACAATGTTATCGTCAAATAAGATTGGCTAGAGTTGCCTTATGTTTTGGTCTTATATGTGCAGTTGGTATGAGTATAGTAGCCAATTTTCAAGTAAGCCAATATTATAAATTATTATATATTTCTTATAATTTTCAAATTTTAAAAACACCACTGTATACTTGTATCCAAATATTTCCCTGAGTATCGTCAATTTATGTGTAATAATGAACATTGTAATGAGTTTATGTTACAATTACTTGTTTGATGTTGTATATGCAAGTAAATTAGTTTTCGAAGTTTCTAACTCTGATTATCGAACAATTGGAAACTAAGAATCGCTAAACAACTGTTTTGTCCTATCATTAGACCACATTCATTACTTCACCGAAAAAGAAATATGTACTTGTATGCTTATACATGTAAAATAAGTAGATTAATTATTCAGAATTAAATGAAATATTTTTCAGAAAACAAGAATCTATACAACTATGAACTAGTAATTTGTTTAAGCACACAATTTTGGAGTTAGATCAGCTTTTGCTGCCTGTTCTTCACATGGTAAATGTCCTAGATAAAGTATAGCAGAGCTTTTATATTTTTGCTTGCATCCATGAATTCTAATGTACCTGCATCTTATTTTTTCCGGAAGTGTACAAGAATAAAAATGTAAATGGAGTGAGTGATTAGTATTTGATAAACTAACACCTCCAGAAGTTTGCAAGATCTAAAATGTCTATTTAGAAACCTCCACAATGGCATCAATGATTCATCACATACCTTAAAAATGCCTTTAGTACTCTTCACAATACAGCGAAACCGTTTCTCAAAAGTCCTAAAAATAATGGGAGGCAGTAAAGCATGATATATAAAGTACAAGAATTTACAAATCGTAAGATTAAATATCGGTTAATGCCAAAAACATGTAACCTCTTCACATAAGACTGACAGGATTTTCTTCGATAATAATATAACATAAGGAGATCAAGAGGGATCAGAAGAAAAATGTACCCCAAGGTAAATGAGCTTTGAATTATTCTAACTACAGAACCTCCAATCATTAAAATCAATGTTATTTCAACAGAATGTTTAAGTAATTTTTATTTCTCAGGCTGAAGTTAACAGATTTACATTTAGAAGGAATAAGTGTAAGACTATTAAAAACGGGCCATTGTTCAATAGGCGCTAAGAACTCATTCATTTTAAGGCGATTTTAATAGGAAGAAACTTGTATATACACAGGTAGATCATCCGCATATTTAAAAAGTGATTTTTGTTGAAGATGGAAGATCATGAAAAATAAAGAAAAAAAGGGAAAACAGAAAAGTAACTCTTTGTGGAACACCAGGTTGAGTTAATAAAGAAGAATAAGCACGGTCAGTCGGTCATCTAGCTTTCAGTGCTAACGCTAGCAAAATTTCTAAATGATACTGATTTTGGAACAATGTCGAATACAGAAGTATAGCCTAGAAATGCTCATCGAACATATTTCTCATCCTTCCAAACTGAACATTATGATCTAGAACAACAGCAGCACCTGGGGTATCTCTTTAGCACTTGTAAGCAAGTTGATGTCACTGATCATTTTCCTCTGACTTTAAATAGTTTCTAAATATTGAAACAGTTTCCACAAGATAATGGTTTTTATGGCTACGTCAAAGTCGGATATTCATTTTTGGCTTATCAGACCATTTAGCCTTCAAATTTCAATAGAATTTTTTCCTTACACAACCCTTCTTTTTCCTTCCTAAATCTTTTTAGTTGCGGGGATGTAAGTCGTTAAATCTTACAAAAAGTCGTTTCACTGAAACAATAAAAATTCAAAGCAGAATTTAAGGTAAAAAGTGGCAAAATCAACGGTGTCATTTGTAAATAAATCCGTTTGCCGTTTAGGGCATGTTTTTCATGTCTTGGATATTTGTCTCTGATTAGATTCTATATCTAACTTTTATTTGTATAATGTAAAAGTGTACTTTTTCCAAGCTTGGCATGTGCTTTCTTCTAATTCTTTCCCTTGGTTTATTTATTGAGGTTAAGTGAAAAAGTCTAGGATTTTACGCTATATTGTGCTTTATAAATGGGAAATTTTCATGAAAAGTCGGTAGTACGAACAGGTTGCATATGTTTAATTACTATCACTTTTCTAGTATTGTTGATATATTGCCGAACAACTGAGTGAACAGTTATTAATTCGGAAGTAAATTACTAATTGAAAACTAGTTACTATCTGATGAAACGGGAAATTTAATATTCTTAGCTCTAACTGTTATGCCACAACTTCGTCTCCTCTCATATTATCCTATTTAACTTTTTAAAAAAAACAAGCTAAATCACGACTGAAGAATTTATTAGATTAATCAAAGATAGTATATAAATATACTGTTTGATATCTGTAAAACAGTGTTACAATTTATTCTTCGAAGTGAGAGGATAGAATATTTGTTGCACCTTCAACATGCCTTTGTGTTTTAAGTAACAGTATGTATTTGTCGAACATAGAAGTGTTGTGTTGCTAATATAGAATGGATGGAATGTCACTAGTAATAGGATTCAGGATGCACGTTTTGTTCCATTTAGGACTCGTCAACTGGATGTACCCACATCCCACAGTTGATGTTCACAACAAAACTCAAACCCGGTACCATTGGCCTCCAACAGCGTCGCGTTATTCACTTAGCCACTGGTTCCAGAAAGACGTTTACTTGTGCAGCGAGTATAAAACTTAATTCAGTTCAAAATGGTTTGAATTATCTTGTTGATATTTTCTACTGAAATTTGACTGGAAAAATAGAAGTCTCATGTTGAGATTTTGTTATCTGAATTTATTGAGTATATAACTTATTGACACTGTATAATTAGAGTACAGTTGTTTGTGACAATTTCGATGGTTTTATCTATTTATTATAGTCTCTAGGGGGATACTGAACACTTTACCGTAAAAGTACTCAGATTTTTCAGTGTCCATTTCAATATTTTCTCTTCGTATTTTTTTACTGTTGGTGCGTCGATCTGTATTTTCAAAGTACAAGAAAAATAAATTATACTCAATAATATGCTGTTTTCAGGTATCTTCTAAAATTTACAATTGGTTAATCACTGAGTACGGAATAATCTTATATTTAATTAGCTCACTTAACTCTAATCAAATTCCATTGATCAAGTCGCAGTTTGGCCGTTAGTCTAAATTATTATATCTCATGGTATTATGTTGAGGTATTAGGTGGTTAAATGATATTAGTTGGATAATGTGCGTTAGGATTCTACATGGGACCATCAGTTTCCTCAATATTATGGAAATAACTTGCCGGTGAGTGCTAACTAGCACGAAAACTATGTCTAGGGCTTCCTGTCGATTACCTCTGACTTCCTACCAAATAAGAAGTACGATTCTTGTAATTTACTTATCTATCGATTCACTTGTGCCTAAATTTTATTTTAGAATCAAATGTCGTAACGAGAAAAAAAGCACACTGTAAAAGCAATTTCCTTTATGAATCAATTATAACTATGTACATATGTCACATATATTTTAATGTATAAATTCCATGAGAAAACTGCATCACTGAGTAATCATAGTGATGTAATTACAAGGACTGTCATTCTAAGGTTGCGTAATGACTATGTGGTGTTTATAGCTGAAAAAGGCGTATAACATTAACAAAGAAGTAATACACAATTGTTTGAATGGTGTTGGTTCATCAAAATAGACGTTTCATTTATGTCATCATAAAAAGTGAAGCTTTTAGGTAAATAATACGTGAAATGATTGAGTGAGAAATTTAAGGCGGTATGAAAAACAGTTTAGGGAAGTAGGGAATTTTCTGACTAGAAAAATATAGGGAATACAATAATATTAATAACCACAACAATAATTGATTAAGACCCAAGACAAATAGAAAGGTAAGATATGTGTACATACATAATTCAAGCCTTATGTTATGAATAGTCAAAAATCTTACCGTTTTAAAGGTTCACAATATAAATCTTGGCAATTGAAAACGAAGTGTACAAATAATCCTAAAATCACTGAATGTGTTTGAACGGTGATCTAAGCAAGTTAAATACTCGAAAATTGCCCACGCAACGGCTTTTTTTTCTTACGCCTGCAAAACTGTCTCACAACAGACCTGATTAAACTCCACTGATCCCGGCTTTTCACTAGAACTCGAGGAAATATTTCTTGAAACCAGTCAATAGTGAGCAAATGATGATTATTATCAGAAGAGGATTTTTTGGTGATCTTAGTAATTTAATAGTTGGATTCATGAGTCAATTGAAGCTAGATCACCATGGAAAACCTGGAAGCACTGGACAGCCATTTCGTCCCAGTTTGGGACTCCTCAGCAGTGCGCATTCGATACTTCGTCAATTGGTATGACATCCTTATTTAGCACCCGTGTCTCAAAATCTGTGTCTACCTCTAAACTTCCTCTTTCGGCTTCTCCCTCAAGTGCCACCATAGCCAACGATTCTAGTGCTCAAAAAACTGTCCCAGGTCTACTGAAACCTCTCTTCAAACTACACATCGGAGCCTTCAACGTACGCACCCTATGTCAAATCGGTCAGCAGGCTTCCTTGGCTAGAACCCTAGAGTCTCTTACCATTGATGTATGCTGTGTCTCAGAAACACGCATACAGGATTCCAGTGTGGTTATTCACTTGACCTCACCTAGGCAAAACGGAGAGCCAACGAGATACACCTTCCGTGTATCTGGTGACCCGATGGCCAGTTCTCGTGGACTGGCAGGTGTAGGCATAGCACTAAGCATGAGGGCCGAACAAGCACTAATAGAGTGGATCTCCGTCAACAGTCGTCTATGTGCTGTTCGGCTAAACGGCTCCGTAAGAACTCGGAAGGATAGGGACACACGTCGTTGCTTTTTCGTCGTTTCTAGCTACGCTGCCACTGACTGCAGCTCAGATGAAGTGAAAGATGAATTTTACAGAAAGCTGTCCGAACTTCAGAAAGCTAAACGCTCAGACATAGTACTCGTAGGGGGTGATAGGTAGTTTAAACCAAACAGAAAGGCATTTAGGTGGGTATTTTAGTATTCCGACGCAGTGAACAGATAATGGTGATCGTCTGCTGCAACTATGCTCAGACAATCGTTTATTTTTAGCAAACACAAATTTTAAGCATAAGAAGAGACATCGTCTAACATGGCGACCCCATACGCCAAACCAACGATGGACTCAAATAGACCATATTGCCATCAGTCATCGTTGGAGAGGGTCGGTAGAGGATTATCGCTCATTCTGGAGTACCTGCTTGGACTCCGACCACGCCCTAATATGGGCACGCATCTGCTTGCGCCTCACTGGACGCAAAAAAGCCACAGTAAAAAGACCCATTAGAACTGAATTGAGTAGCGAGAAAACCAAAAGTAGGTTCCAGGAACAACTGAGGTCACACTTAGGTAGTTCTGAAGACGAAGCTGACCCAGATGTTGCTTGGAAAGGCATACAATCAGCTGTGGAAACAGCAGTGACATTTATCAGTGATTTAAACCACAGTTACAAAGAACCAGTGGATTTCTTCAAGATCTATCACACTGATGGATTCTCGCAAACTCGTCCCATCAGGTTCTGAATACGATGAAGAGCGTAAACAAATCAGATCTAGGTTAAGAAAAAGTCTAATGAACAACCGTGAGCAGTGGTGGGTAACGAAAGCAAAAGATATTGAAAAGGCGACGACTGTAGGGAACACAAGGCAGCTTTACAGACTAATAAAAGAAACTGGAATTAATAAGTCAAGTGTAAGTGAGATTATTTCGGAAAAAGACGATACACTCATCTGCTCCCAGTCCAGGCGTTTAGAACGATGGGCGGAACATTTCAGAGAACAGTTCAGCTGGCCTTCAGCTACTCTACAACTACCCTCCATTCCCAGACACTGTGAATGGAATATTGAAGTAGGTCCCTCAACTCTTGCTGAAGTTGAGAAGGTTATAATTAATCTGAAACGAGGAAGGGCAGCTGGTCTAGATGGATTGGCTCCAGAAGTCTTTAAGGATGGTGGTCCAATTTTAGCGATTAGGTTGACTAATATTTTATCTAAAATCTGGGTGTTAAACGTTATTTCATCTAACTGGTCACAATCACTTATCGTCCCAATATATAAGAGAGGGTTAAAATCATCCTGTGACAACCATAGAGGGATTAGTTTAACTAATATAGTATCTAAAATACTAGCCTCGATCGATAATTATCAGACGCTTAACTAAGACTCGTGAACTGCAAACACGAGAGAATCAAGCTGGCTTCAGACCTGGTGGTGGCTGCATCGGCCACATATTCACCATTCGTCAGGTTCTAGAACATAGGCATACTTATCGGCGTCCGACAATGGTGGTCTTTCTTGACTTAAAAGCAGCATTTGACTCAGTAGACCGCGAGATTCTGTGGCAGTGTCTGTCACTGAAACGCATACCTCAAAAGTACATATACATTGTGAAGGCTCTTTACTCGAACAATACTAGTGGAGTGAGAGCTTATGGCGAACTATCATCTACTTTTGTAACCTCAAGTGGTGTCCGTCAACGCTGTCCACTTTCTCCATTTTTGTTTAACTTCATCATAGACCTATTGATGTAAATAACATTCTCGTCTACTGAATTCTCGGGTGTCGATCTTCTTCCAGGAGGTCCACTTATCGACTTAGAATACGCAGATGACATAGTCCTGTTTGGTGAAGACGCTGACAAAATGCAGAGTCTTCTGGTAGCACTGAGCAACAATGCCAGGATGTTTGGAATGCTCTTCTCTCCCTCTAAATGCAAGTTGTTGCTTCAGGACTGGCCTGCGTCAACACTTGAACTAAGATAGGGAGTGAAGTAGTCGAACGCGTTAACAACTTCACTTATCTTGGAAGTTTGATCAGCCCTGATGGGTTGGTGTCTGACGAAATCTCAGCACGGATTCGAAAAGTTCGCTTGGCTTTTGCCAACTTACGTCACCTATGGCGAAGGCGAGGTATCCGTCTATCAATAAAAGGACGAGTATACTGCGCAGCAGTCCGTTCTGTTTTACTTTACGGCAGCGAAACATGGCCTTAAAGAGTAGAAGACACCCGTAAGCTACTAGTATTTGACCACAGATGCTTTAGAAATATTGCTGGCGTCTGTTGGGATCACCAGGTAAGTAATAGTGGGGTTAAACGCAGGGTATTAGGTAATGCTGGTAAATCATTTGATGAGGTAGTGAATCTTCATCGACTGAGATGATAGGGCCATGTGTTACGTATGCTCGAATACCGATTACCACGTCGTGCAATGCTATCCGCTGTTCGGGATGGTTGTATGGGAGTTAGGGGTGGCCAAACCAAAACGTGGCATCAGTGCTTGAAGTCACTAACTTGTAGTCTAAGCCATGTTGGTAGATGCACACTACTTGGTTGAAGTACGCATGACTTTCGTAACCAATGGTTGGAGACTCTTGGTGACATGGCTCAGAATCGATCACAATGGTGTAGGTGTATACACTCTCTGTCTTCCCTTAAACTAAGAGATTAAAATCACTTCATATCTTTTTTTCTACTAACTAATTCTTTCTTCCTATACTATATCCTTATATGCAATCTTTCTCCTATATATTACCACCTTTGACCTAACCACTCCTATGAATCCGGTGTTCATCTTGCTGTGCTAATGAGGTATGGCAACATGGACCGATGCACATATGTGCCTGATCCTACGTTGTAGCTGACTGACTGACCAGATGTTGGTAGTATTACTTACGCTTTTCTTAACTGTCTGTATTCCGTGATACAGTGGTTTTTTAGTTATTACTTATTCTGATGATCCGAGCACTTGGTTTGATGACATGTTACTTTTTATGGTTCTTTTGTTTTAGCAACGAAATATGTGCTCGTTGTTTTTATGTCCTTTGTTTTAAAGGTTATAAAGGTTGATTCATGTGAAACGTGAGATTAATGAAAAAATACCCTCTTAAGCTCATTTTACGGCATCATGCATCCAGTACTTTATCCACTTTCCTTCTAGGAAACAGCTATTTGGTCTATGCATCTCCTCGGTGCAGGTCTACTTTTTGGTGGTGGTTCGGCCTATGCACTTGCTGTTACATATATTACATATAAATATCTTGGACATAGTCGAATTCGGATTACTCGTTTGGTATTGACATTCATTTCTGTTTCTTCATTTTTATTACGTAAGTCAGTACTAAACAATATTTGTATAGATTTGAGAAAGGTGAACCTGAATTTCTGTTAATGTCAAAGAACTATTTAAAATTTAACATTTGTATAAATATACATTTCTCACTCTGGGAAAAGAGTGCGCATAGTTTAGCCTACATTAATTTAAGTCCATCTACATACTCCCATGTATAACCAAACCCCAAAGGAAACTGAGTTACTGGCATATATATCACAGCGAATGTAACACAATTCAGTGATTTATAAAAAGATCTACTGTTTATATCTGGCAGACTGGGTTCGTAATCATAAATCCTCGTTTTTATAAAATGTTATAAATTGAATGAAAATATAGGGAATTAAGCGAAGAAAATTTTCTTTTCGACGAGATCATTTACTTAAGCTGTACATTCATTCTTATATGGAAAATATATGTCTATAGAAGGACAGAAAAGACTATTCGAAACTTATCAAATGAGGTTACGTAATAATCAAGGGGTAAAAAAAGGATTTAAGGCAAAAATAATTTACGGGTCAGATAGTTGTCTAATTGACAGATACAAAGAAAACGACAAACATAAAGGCGATAATAACAAAAACTGAATAACAATCAAGAGAACTAGTTTAGGATAATAGTAATAATAATAATAATAATAATAATAATAATAATAACTGGTTACAGTTTAAAATTACAAAACACTAACTGAAGAAATCAATAATAATCAGATAGAAATGAAGAAAAAAGAAAAAAAGGTCGAAACGCCACTAAAGAGAATTAAAGCCAAGGAAGCGTGAGAGGCTGAACGAACCGTATTTGCACTCAAAGTTCGTGGATTGCCAATATCGCAGCAGTACATAAAATTAGTGATTCGACTTTCCTTCGATCCAATTGCTTGACTGTGTAGACTACTTTAAAAGAAGACTCTTTTGGAGTGATGTGTCCATAGTTGATTAAATGCTGCTGTATTGAACTAGTAATTGTTTTGCATTCTTCTTTTAAAAGCCATGCCGGATAGTGTTCTGAGATGCGTTTGGAACGTGATCGGTTTGTGCGGCGAACGTAACCTGCCCCACATGAGCAAGTAGATTTTTATATGCACATTGATGTGGCCCAAAGCGGAAGTTAATCCTTAACACACCCGTGAATGTTAGGCCGGCGTGAGAAAAAATTTCGGAGTTTAACTGCTTAGAACGTTTTATTCAACGATTTTAAAATCCGTTTATTTAAGATTTCAGCAGCCGTATCTCCTTTAAATTCCATATTCATAAAAAAGATTATCTTGTACTGACGGTGCTTTTTCAGGATGATGTCAAGGTTTTAAGTTGCTATCGACGAATCTAGGTGGTTAATCATTCTCAATGAGAAGTAGTTCGTCATCTGTTGTGTCAGTAGAACATATTCACTTGATCCTTGAGGATAAAGAGTGAATGACTTTCCTCTTTCTACCCAGTGGGGTCCAGCTACGGAAATTCGTGTACTGCCCATTCCAAGTCAGTTTTCTATATATAGATCTCTGTATAAAAACCATCCAACCTTCTTTTCAATCGGACATCAAGAAAAGGAAATTTATTGTTTGCCTCTGCTTCCAAAGTGAATTGAATTAAGGGATGAAAATTATTGAAAATATTCAAAATTTCATTGAGGTCCATATCTTCTTCACAAATAATGAAAGTATCATCCACATATCTCTTAACTTGTTGAAATACCCTGTGCTGAGAATTCTATATTGTACCAAAAATATAATATTGAATAAAGCCATTAATAATAATAAAAATAATAATAAATAAATACATAAATGAAATCTCTCAATTTTTGGTCAAAGTACCGTATTTTCATGATTGGCCATGAAGCAATCAGCCAAGAGGGGATTCAATCGAGAATCCATTGCAACTACATCTGTTTGTCTATAAAAATCATCATTAAATCTAAATTGTACGTTGAGAGTATATCGTAGAAGTAGCTCTTTTAGATAATGTTTTGGGATACAAATATCATGCCTATTATTTTCAATATAGTCACATAAAAATACATAGAGTTTCTGTGAGAGGGACGCTTGTAAAAAGAGAAGTGACATCCAATAAGATCATTGGCCTACCATTTAAATTGATATTTTTAATTGAGTCGACAAAGTAAAGGAATCAAGAGAGTTGTATCTGTTGAAGTTATTGTAAATTATTAGCCTCATCTATAAGCCGTAAACACTTTTTCTCATGTATGTGTCCTTCCCTTCTAATTTTCACACAATATTACTAAATGGAGTATGTGTCGTTATTTCGGATATCGTGAAGTTGTGCAGGTCTTCACTGCAAATCGCCTATGTGAAAGCGCATATCCAGCGAAGTTCATCGAAATTTATGTCAAAGCCAACGTACGGATTAAATACGATGCAGTAGATAAGAAAAGCTGCTCCTTATACATAAGACTAATTCTTCCAGACTTTCCTTTGAATAAAGTTTACTAGCGCGACCAAAAAGGTTTCATACAATCCCCTTGTTGTAACTTAATAAACAGAAACTGTTGTAATTTATATAAACTCCACTCCATATATTCTTGCGTTAGATGTGTCTTTGTAGTATGCTGTAACCGTTCTAAGCAGTGCAATAGTCTAGCATCCAGTTGACATCAAGCACACCAATGACATTCTACAAGCCTTCATAATTATAACAGACACAAAAACAATGACTTTCCCGTTTGTCGAAGCAGTAGCAACGAAAAAGCTGAAAGCTTATTCATACATACAGAAATTTTTATTGTGATCATTATTTTGTTACGTGGTCTTCTCCAAACTAATTCTTATTTTATGTACAAAAAAATCATTGCCTCATTTATAAGTTTTCGTCCAAATTCTGTTCACTTATTGTGCAACACATCTTATATATAACCTTTGTCATTTTAATTTTTTTCATTCATCTACATCAATTATTTCACATAATATCGTACCTCAGTGTTACCTTTCAATATGTATACGGTTGTAAGCGGCTGTTGAGAAACTTCTAAATATAACGAATCAACATTATTCTGCCTCAATTGTTGTTCTGGCTTTATTCGAATTCATAAAGCAATCCATTGTATGAGACTATTGTTTTAAGCTTTTGAAGTTTCAACTGTTTAATCTGATTGATTCTGCAGTCTATCTCACACTAATGTCGTATATTTATTTATTTATTTTTAATAACAAAACTAGAACCAACAACTGGATTAGTCGCACGTTTCATGTATGATGGTGATAATATTAGAAAATGGAAACCAACTGATCAAGTCAGTCCTTTTTTCGTTCTATAATTGCAAATGTGTTGAAACAATGAATTATTATGTAATTCTGTTGTTTGTAATAAGCTCATGTAAAATCCGTCAATTTGTGTTAATTGCTTCGCCGATACTTTCAATCAATATTGTGTATCGCTAACAAGATTTTTTAAAAGGACTAGAGTAACAGTTTATATATATACATTAATTTCATGTGAAAATAGGCAATGTATCATTTTATTCAACATTCTTGATGTTATATATGAATTTAACAAAATCTGCGTGGAGAACTAGTTAAACTTCGTTTTGGTAGACTAAAAATTCTGTAATATTTTTTGGCAAACTTATTTAGTCTTGATGTAAAGCTAACGATTAAAATTGTCACACTGTATATTCTTCTAAATTTTTTTATTGAATGAATCTAGAAACAGTTTATCATATGGATTCTTTTCAAGATTGCGAACATCTTACTGGTGAATTTCAACTAAATATCATAGAAACTTGGAACTAAGTTCCAAATAGTCTCAATTTTTTGAGGTTTATAAAACTTTTGAATAATGGATTCTCTTAGATACTTACCTAAAATATATCAATATATTAATTATTCTAATGGAATAAATCAATCTGCTGATTTATATTTGTTCATAAACACATTCAAACTGTAATTGAAGACATTTGATCATGATAATCACTTATCTGTTAGTCACATTTAGCGTGCTACAACTACACTCACTGCACTAAAAAGTATATTTTCCACAAGTCTGTTTACTTTATAAAAATCACGAAGTGTTTTTAGAATACATGAAGTGAACAGTAATCTTGAGGGAAGTTGTCATTACTCGTGAGTAATTAGGAGTGTGTAAGATAGCAAGACGTTACATGAAATAAATGCATTTAAGACAAGCAAGAAAGTCTTTTACTACGTATTTCTGTTAGGTTTACTTTTTAACAGCCGCATCACATTCACTGAAAATTGATAAAAACATTTTTCACTGATTTAACTGAAATAAATATTTGTGAATATTCTTCAGGTCTGAACTTAACTTCATTATATTTCAGCTCAGAAAGCCAATTAATCTCACATGAGCTTATCAAAGAGTTGTAGTTCAAAACTGAACACATAAACCTCTACTTGCCAAATGAATTACATCAAATTAGGTTAGAAATTTCTTTTCAACACACTTAATGCTTCTGATACCTTTTTAACTACTAATTGGCATTCTGTATATAAGGAATTTGCTCAAACTGAATTACATCGGCCAATCCTAGTCCATGATGCAGAATAATAAAAATTATCCGACTCAAAAACTCTTTTAAAAAAATAGATAACTTTTTTACTGTGTGACAATTGCAAGTTATGCTGAAAAATAAAATTGTTCAGTGCTCTGAAATTTCAAATTACCTCATATAGGAAATCATGGCTAACGATATGTGTTATGTCGTAATAGTGTGTTTATCACTTATTTGGCTGGTCAGTTGTTGGTTGTGTCCACGTATGTATTTTCCGTTTTCATAATAAAATGTATGGGACTACATAGAGTTCCTCACACAAATAAAATGACGAAAATTTGAAGTAAAAGATCGTACAACATGTAAATAAGTGAACAAGAAAAACATTCTTCAAGTTGTATGGTTCAATTGAAAATACATTTAAAATTAGGAGTGTCTTGGTAGTCTGATTATTGTCAACACAAGATATTGATTCATTCACCGTCGTAATTCAGTTTTGTTGGACATTTTTCAAAAGCCATCTTCAAAGAGTCAGTAATCATTTTTACTTGAGTTGTTTTTTTTAATATTTTTCAATAAAGTCGATATCACTGCTGTCATTGATCGAATGGGTTTATTTTTTAAAACAATGGTATGTTCCATAATGTTTGAATCACTTTTGGTTAGTGTTTAAATATAAATTTGTTATTGTTGTCAAACTTTCTGAAGGGAGGTGTCTACACTTAAGCCGACAAGTTAGTGGACACCTCCCTTCGTGTCTGGAGAGGGTGTGAGGAAAACTATAACGCTTGATTGATATCGGTCATGTAGTAAATAGAAATAAGTCAGATTGAGTAATTCATTGTATATTTACTACCTTTTCTCATAACATTTGATGTCATCTTTTTCATACAGCAGAAATTATACAGATTCAACCTCATAACTCAAGTGCTTGTATTCGCAAAACATTTGTAACATTCGTATCTCTTCTTTGGCCAAATGAGACTTCGCAAACGATTTCACTTGCTATCATTCCCCATACTTGGTTTGTTTATTTTTCTTCATCCCCCTTTTTTAAATATTCCCTTCACTGACTGTTTATTTGAATATTTATTACACGATTCTAATACTTTTTAATAAATTTTATTTCCGTATCTCATTTCCCAAGTCGGCTCGCTGCCTATCATAAACCATTGATTCAAGCCTTCATTATTCTTATCACAACTAGTACACCTGTCATCAAACTATAAATTTGTAACTTTTACATTCGGCTGGCGAGTCGCAAGTTAAACGAAATGCACGTAATGAATTCAACCGCTAGTCATTATTCAATTCCGCTTATAATGCTTGTGATTTAGTGGCAATATTGCGTCAATCCGTACAGAATGCATACATGCCAATTGCAGTTCTAAACATCAATGAGAAGATTTAGATAACCAATATAAATTGATTTTTACTTATTGTTTATTCATGTAATCTATTCCAATGTTATTACTGACTCATAAACTGTCGAATGTATAGCTTAAGTTAATGATTTTATCGAAAAGAAAATTTTATTCGCTGAATTCTCTTTCTCTTATTCAATGACACAATTGGGTCTTTTTTAATTATCTTCCGTAATTGATTTGATAATTTCATATATGCATTTAAATATTATTGTATATTGGATTTAAGACTGGTAAGGATCTAACTCAAAACAATATTATTTGCCTATATATGTTTTTCGTAAATGATATGTGCTTTCATACTTCAATAATAATTATCAATAGTTCCTACAATATGTTACAAATACATATGAATAACTTATTAATTTGTCCTGGTTTGACCTTGTTGAAACTTTTAATCAACATGTTTATCAATGCTCGAAAAATAAATATTCCGTGCTACTTATCAATCTTGTTAATTCAAATATCCATAGAAAATCATAGATTGAATATTATCATTCTTTTCGTATTTTTAATATAAACATAGTTATTCTGTGATACTATAGTGGAAAACGAGTATTCATTTGTATTTTTGGCCAAATGAAGTTGGTTGTATAATTCTCGATCTGTGTCGTTAGATCTCACACTTAATGTATTCAATTAAATACAGAAAGAAACCGTTTAATTTTTCTTATCACATGCTTTGGTTAATATAAATTAATCATGAAGCATTCTATGGAGCCTGAGTACATTTGTTTTGACACTGAGATGTCTATAGGTTTTTCTCAAAGTCATTATCGCATGGATTCATCATCTGCACTAGGGTCTACATTTAATGTATCCTTATTCGTAGATTACACTAACTTTTTTTCTGTGCCAATTATTTCTAAGAAACTCACTATTACTTATCCTTTTTGGTTCGAACCAGCTCGGCTCATTATCACTCTCTTACAACGAGTAAAATATACACACAGGGCTTTGCTTCATGTTTATTATATTACATATTATTAACCAGACTTTTTTTTATTCTGAATGCTAATCAGAAATTATACATTAGTCTGTAATTTGAAACTGAATCATTTTCGCAATACATCATTAGGATGAATGTGTCGCTTCCTTGCTTCATCATAGAAAGTCAACCACCATTAGCTTCACTGGTTTTCCATATTTATATCAAGGCATAACAAAAAATTACAGTGGTTTTTAAAACTTTCATATAGTCCTAACGTAGTATTTAGTTGGTAGATCATTTGAAACTCAAGATAATTTGAACAGATATTTCGTTTCTGTCAAGCCTATTAAGCTGGAAGTCATAAGAGCTGATGAAGATCACGCTTCCCTACACACTCACTAAAATTATATGTATTAACCATTAGATTCTGATTCGATAACTTAATGTGATTGTGTTCAACATTCGGAACTGAGAAGTGTATTCAGTTTAATGATGATTTGTAGCTTCACACTGTCTAGAAACTTCATGGTAATTAGTCACGTTTATCTAATGTAACAGTCAGATTTTTGATTACCATTATTGATAATGATATTTAATTATAAGTACAAAATAATAATATTTAATTTAGCTATAAATTATGAATATTTGATAATTGTTTATAAGATATGTAGTTTTACTATGTTATAATTGATTAATAAGGTTATTTAAGTTTAATCTTACTTTTATTTTTGATAAAATAACATTTCAATGAACTTTGGTATCAATCTATTCAATTTGTTTTTTTTTAAAATTCCAAATAGGGTTATTCGTTTCATGTAGTAAGTAGTATGTCGGAATGGATTACAGCTTTATCATTTATATGCTTTATTTTTACACTGGTATGGGAATTGAAAGATTACAAAGTACATGAAATAAAGGTACGTCATTTATTGTCCCTAATAACATTGTTAATGGGTTTTTTTCTCACTGAAACAGTAATCAAAAGGCTGAATTCTTTTAAAATCTTTAGAAGTAGTATCTATACGTAAAAAATAATATAGAGCTGTTTTACTTAAACGTATTTATGTTCACAGTCATTTGAATTATATGGAGCAAACCACGTGAATAATTTTTGTCAATGATATTTCTGTTTTATTTTGTCTTAAACTGCTCTCAAACAGGAATATTTTTATAGGATCGAAATATGTGACCAACTCAACTATGCTAGACGAATACACTGACGAAATACAATGTCCCATACATGATACATTTATACCCATATGACTACAGCTGTAAAGGTTTTTATGATTTTATTGCGAGTATAGTTTGTACCAATCACATACTTTACATATGCAAACACCATACATCACAATCAGTAGGAATTTATTCCATAGCGTCAATTAGATTTATGGAACCTCATCAAATTTCACTGAAGAAGGTGGAATAAATTCCACTTGAATAACACGTGAGTCTAGACTTGAGGTTCGTTGTTTAGGGGAAGAAAAAGTGTTTGAAAATGTGACATGTCTCAACAGCAATCAATCGGACTGGATGTAAGCAGAATAAGTTGTAAAAGTCCGCTTCTTTTCAAAATATCGTATAAACGCTTTTTTCTATAAAAAAACTATGAAAGTCTCGCGATCAAACCACATATCCTGCACAATCCGACGTCTCCAAAAAGTCTAGATGAAAATGAATAAATTTTCTGAAGATTACAGGAATTTTTGCCGGTTTTTAGACATGATCAGTTTGATATGGGCAGCAATGTTAAACATAAAGAAGTTATATATGGTCTTCGATTGTTTGATTTGTTATGGTTAAAAATTGTTTAGGTAGTACATTTTCCACAAGGATTACATCAGCACAAGGTATCAGTTTTCTACCATTATTTCTTTGTAAGTGTATATCCTGTGAATGCGTGAAGTGTGTTCAAGGTAATTTTCAGTGCCACAACGGAATGATTATAATAATCTTATAAGTAGAGATAGTAACATAAACAAAGCAAGAAGCAACAGCAATAATTTCCATCACAGATCTATTGGTATGCATGTGCCATTTTGTTTAGTGATCCACTGTTCGAGCTAGATATTATTTTAGTATACCAGGAACGCTGTAAAATTCTACGATACAACACAGCATACACCAATCCAGTCACAATTGATGGAGAAGATTTGGAAGATGTAAAAACAGCAGCATATTTACAACTGAAGAACTCAAAACAAATTTCAACCGACACCAAGGTCGGGATTTTCAATACATATGTCAAGACAGTTCTACTGTATGGGGAGGAAAGTAGGAGAACTACGAAAGCCATCATCTAGAAGATACAGGTGTTTATTACAACTTGTCTACGCAAAATACTTCGGATCCGTTGGCCGGACACTATTAGCAACAACCAGCTGTGGGAAAGAACAAACCAGATCCCAGCGGAGGAAGAAGCGCTGAAAGTGGATAAGACACACATTGAAGACAGCACCTAATTGCATCACAAGACAATCCCTCACATGGAATCCTCAAGGCCAAAGGAAAAGAGGAAGACCAAAGAACACATTACGCCGAGAAATGGAAATAGACATGAGAAAAATGAACAAGAATTGGATGGAATTAGAAAAGAAGGCCCAGGACAGAGTGGGTTGGAGAATGCTGGTCAGCGGACTATGCTCCATTAGGAGTAGCAGGCGTAAGTAAGTACCAGGGACGCTGTAGGTGTAAAATATTTTCAGTTAGGTAGGTTAGACGAGTGGAATCGTGTCGATAGCGATCAAACTCTTAATGCTCCTATAAGTTCACTAGTAGGATGGGATTTACTTAAAGGTATGAGAAAATTCAAACCATAGATACAGCAAACAATTGATAGTGATTTTATTTCATAGACAGATTGCGGCATATTCGACTCCCAAAAATTAAATGATAAACAGCTACGCAGTCTATTACTGTCTCAGCATATTGATTTGCACTAGTGGATGTGTAAAACATTTATTCAGTATTTTAAAGAAAAAGATTAGTTAAAGTCTCCGCTTCCACGAAGTGTCGTTTACAAGCTTATTGCATAAGGATTTATGGTTTAAAGTACAATCATTTAAGATAATTTCCTAATTGAGTCGATACAAAATATATTAGACATCCATTTTAACACAAGCGGACGTTTTCCATCTTGGAACTCAGTTGACTTTCACAAAAAAGTTTTAACCAACCAGTGTCTTGTTGTTTGAAATAACTACAAGTGACGGAGAAAAAAAACGACTTGCTGTATTAAAAAACTATGTGAAAGCTTTTTTCAAAGAAAAAAAAAGAAAACCGTCGAAATGAAACTTTGATTCGATTATCAAACCGTTATTCTATTATAAAGTTGGATAAATTATAATTAACTAGATTGTATCAGTTAGCTATTATAATAGTGCTTGTGTGGTACATAATTTACGTGTCAGTCGTACTGAAATTTGTTTTTTAATCATCTTCATAGATTGTTCGTCGATGGAGTATACTTAGTGATGATAATTATGGTAATAATAATGATGAAAATATGCTTTCCTAGAATCGTTTGTTTTTTCTTTGTAAATTTAAGCTACTATTAAATATGAGATGAATTTCGAATCACATCTCTTATCTATCCACTATTCTCTTTCATATTTAAGATTTCTTTCTTCAATTAAAAGATAATTTATAACCAACTTTTTATGAAATTATATTTACATAGTTAACCAATCCATTTTTTTAATTAAAAGAAATCGTGTATTCTTGTCATTTTGTTTTAACCGAAATAATTTATTCCAGATTTGGTTATTGTTTGTTCATGAAATCATCATATAAACTGTAACTATCTCATTATAATTCCATGATGGAAGTAAAAGTTAATTTTATCAAGTTTGTTGTTGTTTTGTAGTGATATTATGATGTAAAAAAGTTATAAACAGAGAAAGATCGTTCCAGGAATAGATGACACGTTTAGTAGACTAGTCTATGACATTGTATACTTGTGAATATATTTAAAAGTGAAATGATGGTATTATTTGTGAATTTGAAGATATTTAAAAAAAATCTTCATGTATTTCGGTCTACTGCTATTACAAAGTTAACGTCTAATAATTACCAAATAAATACTCATGTAGGATAATGTAATTCAATTTTATACCTGATATCACTGTTACACATGTTAATCGTGATGTAGTAATTATGTACATGTTTAAATACACAGCTTTAATTCAAACGTTTTGTGTTTGGATTTCTCATTACGCAAAATGTAAAAAACACGGTGGATCAACACTGTATTGTAGATGTATTAATGTATGGGAGATGAATTCACCAAACTTGAAAATCAAATCATGAGTGTGATTTAATAAGTAAATGTCACAACAAATCTTTTAGCCATTTGGTCTCAGATTCACTGAAAGGTCAAAAATTTCAGTTCGGATGGCTAGGTAGTATTACTGATCTATACAAACTGTGGGCTTCAAGTCTGATTACTAAAACATGTAATTGACCTGTAAGTTAAGTTATTGCTAAATTGGAAGAAAAATTTTCAAAGTGCAATTAGATTCTGACGTGTCGGTTGTGTTATTTTCTTTTTTGCCCAACAAAATACAGAAGGCTTAATATTTTTCCGAATTAAATTCGTTCTTTCGATGAAAGTAGAGAAAATTACAAAATCAACATAAAGAAATAGATTACATCGTGTATCAAGTTAAATAGAAATTGTAATCCTAATGAAATGGATTAAAGCACTTTGTTCTTATTCACTGAGTTATAGTTACATAAGAACAGAAAGTGATGGCTTAAGCGAGGAGAGGTGTTTGTTCATCATTTTCATGCGCAATAACTATACGCCTTATCTAATATAAAAAAAGGAAATTAGACAGTTAGGAATCATCATCCACAATATTAATAAGTTTTTATCAAAATCAATAAATAACTTAAAATCATAATCCAAACATATTTCACCAGTTAATTGGTGTAGTATAAGCATTAGATAGAATGATCGTAATAATGGATTATAAACAAATTACTGGCAAAAAAAGTGTAAATTAATAATACTGGGTCTATGTTTACATCTAACTATAATGATAGTAATTATCTGGCCAGCACACTGGTCTAGGCATTGTAAATCAAAAGTACTATAAACAATGGGTGTTAAATGCTGTAGAATCTTTGTAGTATGTCAAACCCACATAGGTTTATCAAATGACCACTACACTATTTTAGAACAAAATGAATTTTATTTGTCGACTTTGAAGAAGTGACTAGAATTGACTCACGAAACGTCAGAAATACAATTTTCTAACCATTGCGAAATCACACCTGTATCATTTAAATTTATTGAAAATGTAATTGAGCATTATATCGGGAATATAAGTAAGTCGTAATACCAACCTAGCAAAATTTGATAGTGATGATAGTTCTGCATATTTGTTCTTATTAGATATTGCCCCATAATGTAGATTTTACGATTATAGATAATAATGACAATAGTAAAAGCTTACTTTAACCGATTCCAACTCATAGTTCCTCAGTTCAAATATCATAGAAGCGAAAAACAGTAAGAATGTGAAGGACATTAACCATTCGCAAAAACTACTCAATGCATGATATTTGAAACCCTACATAAAAGAAAAGATAATATTGATGAGATATAAGTAAAGTTCTACGTTATTGAACTTTCCCAGATACTGACTTTTCACTTATTATGTAATCTTTTTCATTGTTATCATTGACTCAAACTACCTTGATTGGTTTAATAATTTCGTATATGCATATAAATATTACTGTATATAAGAGTAAAGCCTGATGAGGATCTAATCGGAAACAATATTGTTCGCATATATATGTTGTGCTAAGAAGCGAAACATTAAAATTACTGCAAAAGCTATATAACATGGGGTAATGTGTTAATATAGTCCTGTTTATATCATAACACGGTTGTTCAGAAAAGGATAGCAGGATAGGATCTGTATTTTTTAAACTAAAGAATGTTTATGCAATATGTATACTTAGTCTTCAGTCATCCATTTGGATCTCGTTGTGTATTCTGCGATCTAAACTAATCATAGACTGTCTTCTTTAGCTTCTCCTATGATCTGCAAAGTACTGTGCGTTAGCCATGCTTATTGACTCCCTAAATCTCTTCAGCTGTTAAGTGTAGCAACTTCCAAGCGAAGTTCCGCTAAATGCCACTTATAGGCAATCTATTATTAGTTTTATTCTATTATATTCTTGGTACGATATAGAATTTTCAACGCAAAGTATTTTAGTGAGTTTCTGTTTTTTTGTTTCTTGATCGATATTGACAATAAATATTGAGTGATCCCCAGTTAGATACTAGCATTTCAGAAGTCGACATCTAAATAATATTTATTCTTTTCGATGCATATGGCCAGTCTTCACGATGTTTCCGATTATACGTTTTTCTAACTTGTACAGTGAAAGGTAAACTTTTCACAAACGCACCTGAATAGGTTATGCAATTAATTGACATAATGATCAGTTAAGACAAACAAGGAAACAGATGCTTGTTGAAATATTAAGTGGCACGAACAGGTAGCCGAAATATTGAAGCAGGCCGCTTACACTTACATAACATACCTTAATTAAATGTTAACAAACAATATAAAGATGCCATTTTTTGTTTGTGGGCATGCTTATTTGACATGTATTAATGAAAATTACAACGAAGACATCTTTGATCAGTACGATAAAAATAAGCGGAAAACAATAGGTAAGGGTCCTTCAAAAACATACAGTAATCTACACAAAGCTAAAAATTAACAAAAATATACTTTGTTTAAATAGAATCACTACTGTCAAACTAAATATCATTTCAGATACATCAGTGTAATTTAATAAGTTAGTAATTTGGATCTCAGTTATACAGTCGACAAATTCTGCTGTAATCGACATGAATAAATTATATTTAGATTAATGTAACCATAAAAATGTGCGGTATAACTGTACATAGGATCAATAAATCACTGTATTACATAACAACAATTAGTTTTTTTATTTACCATTGATCACAATAAATTACTTAAGTGCTATTTTTTCATCAGATGATCACAAGTTATGAAGAAAAAAATCAAATAAAACTTGATAATAATAATAACATCTACAATATACCTGTAAGGAAATAATTGAATAATAAACAGAGTAATGTGTAATTTCGTGTATAATAAGTGTAAACAATTAAATATATATATATATATATATATATATATATATATATATATATATATATATATATATATGATGGATTTAAAGTGTTTTAGCAGAGAAATTAACCTACCGCTTCAGATGGATCCCATTTTCTAGGGAATGGACCGTGGATTCCCCCAGATAAGTACCCAAAAATGAACACTAGAATTAATGAAAAAAACAATAACACATAAATTAATATGGCTCGTTACAAAAAAAAACGACAAGGTGACTGAAAGTCGATCCTAGGAATTACTTTTTTTGAGTTAACAGTTGTAATGAATAATCTATACATTGCAAACAGTAACACTTCTTTGATACTGTACGACTAAATAAAATAAGTGACTCTATCAGAACTGCCAAATACTGAGAACTCTTGTCCTAAGAATTATACACTTTTATTTTGTCAGACTGTGTCACAAATATTTATAAAAGCAAACTGATAATGATTTATACACGGAAACGCAAGAAAAAAATTGAGTTGATCTCGAGTGGATTTTTGAAACAATTTAGATGTGTACTCATCAGATGATAAAAAACTGAGGGAAACTGGAGAAATCAATCATAACTATCGATAGTCAACAGAATTCTTTAAAATAATTTTAAGCTAAATGAAAAATAAGTGTAAAGCAAAGTTATAAGTAAAACTTATCAATGTTTATGTTGGACGTGTATATACGCATGTACCCCGATTCATTGTGTGCGACTTAGCTTAAAGGCAATGAAATAGTATAGATGAAAATAAAGAACGATCTAATAGTAAAACTTTAAAATCATACGCACCTCCCAGATTCGCGAGAAAACCACAAACAGTTAAAAACAGACGGAATACATATATCCTGAAATTGTATTCCAAATGTCTACGTGTAGAATAGGTGACTAACGCTGAAAATACGATGCCCAATCCGAAAGTCATCACTGCACCGATTAAATGAACAACTATTAAAGATGCTTCCTAAAACAAAACGAAAAAATAATTAACTACATGTCATATGGAGAAAAAAATCGTCTAACCTACACTAAACTACTTATAAGTAGATGAAGCATTTAAAGTAATATCTAAATCATGCCAACTAGGGTGGCAGTTGTTTACCATATAAACCGTTGAATCTGACAATCGGTCACTGATTTAAAGATTCTGACGCAAAAGCGATTATTTCACACGAAATTGGTAATATCATATGATCGTCTAAATTAAGGGGATTGAAAGGACAGAATACTATGTAATGGCACGATTAAGTGTTGGAGAGAACGTGGTACCACGGAAATGTTGAGAGTACCCTTAGTAAATTGTCGTCCATTCATTAATTAATTGAAGTTCCTTAATAATCATTGGTTGGGAAAGAATTTCCT